TCACAAATTACTAATAAAACTACTTAAATCACTAAGGTTAGTGGTCAGTGCAATTTTTATATATTGAAAATTTTGAAGAAGATACGTGGTAAGAATAATAGTCTGTGTATAACCTGTTTGTATATGTGTTTAAATATAAGGATAAAAATATAGGCACACAGAAGTTCGAAATACTTCATAATATAGAAATTGTGCTTTAGTGGGTTTGGAAATTGGTTTAGAGACTATTAAGGCAAAAAATCAATGGAGGTGAATTGTTTTATATATAGAGAAAGAATCTTATTGTTTAAAAGTTCACTAACATTTCATTTCTAATTTTTACACAATGTATTCTAGTATTATTAAAATAGGAAGGGTATTCTTAAAATTTAAAAATCATGTAATTGAAAAGTCTTGTTATTCTTAAACCTTTAATAAGAAAAAATATTTGACTCATTAGATTTATTAAACTTTTGTTTCACGAAAGTATACCTTTCATGTATTTATTACCCAAGGGTGGATGAGGGCTGTTATGTGTTTCCTAATGGTCTTTCATCATTCTAATATTAATTACAAGGTATTAGGTATTCTAAAATAAGAATGAAAACCACAGAGCTATTGGGACCACCATATTGCTGCCTACTTGGATCAGCATTAGCAGTGTGGTCTATGTGACTGGTCACTACTGGAGTGTCTAGTTTATAACTCACATAAGTATTTTATATCCCTGATTTATTTCTCATGGAAGAAAATATTAATTGGTTTTTAATTTTTTTTTAAAGAATAATTTTTTTTTTAATTTTTTTATTGCATTTTAGGTTTTGGGGTACATGTGATGAACATGCAAGATTGTTGCATAGGTACACACATAGCAGTGTGGTTTGCTGCCTTCTGTCGCCTCACCTGTATCTGTCTTTTCTCCCCATGCTATCTCTTCCCACCTCCCCACCCCCCGCCCCTCCCCCATTTCCCCCCAACGGACCCCAGTGTGTAGTGCTCCCCGGTTTTTAAATTATTTGTAAAATATTAGTTCACTTTAGAGTATGAAGAATATAATATGACATATATTGATCTTCTCCCTTTCAACATTTATTATTTATTATACTTTGATTTCTGGAGTACATGTGCAGATCTTCCAGGATTGTTACATAGGTAACACACATGCCATGGTGGTTTGCTGCCTCCATGCCCCCATCACCTACATCAGGCATTTATTCTAATGTTATCCCTCCCCAAACTCCTCATCTGCCACTGTCCCTCCCCTACCCACCAACACCCAACAGATACCCACCTATGAGTTAAACACCCACCTATGAGTGAGAGCATGCAGCATTTGGTTTTCTGTTCTTGTGTCAGTTTGCTGAGAATTATGGTTTCCAGATTCATCCATGTCCCTGAAAAGGACATGAGCTCATCTTTTTTAATGGCTGCATAGTATTCCATGGTGTATATGTGCCACATTTTCTTTATCCAGTCTATTATTGATGGGCATTTGGGTTGATTCCAGGTCTTTGCTATTGTAAACATTGCTGCAATGACATACATATGCTTGGGTCTTCCTAATAGTACAATTTATAATTCTTTGAGTATATGCCCAGTAATGGGATTGCTGGGTCAAATGGGATTTCTAGTTCTAGGTCCTTGAGGAATTGCCACACTGTCCTCCACAATGGTTGAAACTAATTTACACTCCCACCAGAAGTGTAAAAGTTTTTCTGTTTCTCCATATCCTCTCCAGCATCTGTTGTCTCCAGATTTTTTAATGATCGCCATTCTAACTGGAGTGAGATGGTATCTCAATGTGGTTTTGATTTGCATTTCTCTAATGACCAGTGATGATGAGACTTTTTTCATATGTTTGTTGGCTGCATAAATGTCTTATTTTGAAATGTGTCTGTTCATATCCTTTGCTCACTTTTGGATGGAGTTGTTTTGTTCTTGTAAATCTGCTGCAATTCTTTGTAGATTCTGGATATTAGCCGTTTGTCAGATGGGTAGCTTGCAAAATTTTTTTTACCATTCTGTTGGTTGTTGGTTCACTCTAATGATTGTTTCTTTTGCTATGCAGAAGCTCTTAAGTTTAATTAGATCCTGTTAGTCTATTTTGGCTTTTGTTGGCATTGCTTTTGATGTTTCAGTCATGAAGTCCTTACCTATGCATATGTCCTGAATGGTATTGCCTAGGTTTTCTTCTAGGGTTTTTATCTTTAAATCTTTAATCCATCTGGACTTAATTTTTGCATACGGTGAAAGGAAGGGTTCCAGTTTGTGTTTGCTGCACGTGACTAGCCAGTTTTCCCAACATCATTTATTATACAGGGAATCCTTTCCCCATTGCTTATTTTTGTCAGGTTGGTCAAAGATCTTATGGTTGTAGATGTGTGGTGTTACTTCCAAGGCCTCTGTTCTGTTCCATTATCTATATCTCTGTTTTGGTACCAGTACCATGCTGTTTAGATTACTGTAGCCTTGCAGTATAGTTTGAAGTCAAATAACATTAAGCCTCCAGCTTTGTTCCTTTTGCTTAGGATTGTCTTGACTATGAGGGCTCTTTTCTGGTTCCATATGAAATTTATGATTGTTTTTTCCAGTTCTGTAAGTTAAACTGGTAGCTTGATGGGAATAGCAATAAATCTATAAATTACATTGGGCCATGTGGCCATTTTTATGATATTGATTCTTTCTAACAATGAGCATGGAATGTTTCCATCTGTTTGTGTCCCTTCTTATTTCCTTTAGCAGTGGTTTGTAATTCTCTTTGAAGAGGTTCCTCACATCCTTTGTTATTTGTATTCCTAGGTATCTTATTCTCTTTATAGCAATTGTGAATGGGAGTTGGCTAATGATTGGTCTTTCTATTTGTCTGTTAATCGTGTATCTACTGAGATGATTATGTGGTTTTTATCTTTGGTTCTGTTTATGTGATGTATTATGTTTATAGGTTTGTGTTTGTTAAACCAGCTTTGCATCTCAGGATGAAGCCTATTTGATCGTGATGAATCAGGTTTTTGATGTGCTGTTGCATTCACTTTGCCAGTATTTTATTGAAGATTTTTACATTGATGGCCATCATGGATATTGGCCTCAAATTTCCTTTTTTACTTGTGTCTCTGCCAGGTTTTGGTATCAGGATGATGTTGGTCTCATAAAATGATTTAGGAAGGATTCCCTCTTTTTGTATTGTTTGCAATAGTTTCAGAAGGAATGGTACCAGCTCCTCTTTATATGTCTAGTAGAATTTGGCTGTGAACCCATCTAGACTCAGACTTTTTTTGGTTGGTAGGCCATTAATTGCTGCCTCATCTTCAGCCCTTGTTATTGGTCTATTCAGGAATTCAGTTTCTTCCTGATTTAGTCTTGGGAGGGTGCAAGTGTACAGAAATTTATCCATTTCTTCTAGATTTACTTGTTTATGTGTATAGAGTTGTTTGTGGTAATCTCTGATGGTATTTTGTATTTCTGTGGAATCAGTAGTGATATCCATTTTACCATTTTATATTGCATCTATTTGATTCTTCTGTCTTTTCCTTTTTATTAGTATGGGTAGTGGTCTGTCCGTTTTGTTGATCTTTTCAAAAAACTAGTTCCTGGATTTACTGATTTTTTTTCTTGAGGGCTTTTTTGTGTCTCTGCCTCCTTAAGTTCTACTCTCATCTTCATTATTTCTTGTCTTCTGCTAGCTTTTGAGTTTTTTTGATCTTCCTCCTCTAGCTCTTTCAATTTTGATGACAGGGTGTTGATTTCATATATTTCCTCACTTCTCATGTGGGCATTTATTGCTATAGATTTCCCTCTAGACACTGCTTTAAATGTGTCCCAGCAATTCTGGTATGTTGTGTCTTCATTCTCATTGGTTTCTAAGAATATCTTTTTTTTTCTGCTTCCATTTCATTGTTTATCTAGTTGTCATTCAAGAGCAGGTTGTTCAATTTTTATATAGTTGTGCAGTTTTGAGTGAGTTTCTTAATCCTGATTTCTAATTTGATTGCACTACAGTCTGAGAGACTGTTATGTTTTCCCTTCTTTTGCATTTGCTGAGGAGTGATTTACTTCCAATTATGTGGTCAATATTAGAGTAAGTGCAGTGTGGTGCTGAGAGGAATATATATTCTGTAGATTTGGGTGGAGAGTTCTGTAGATGTCTGTTAGATCTGCTTGTCCAGAAATGCATTCAAGTTCTGGATATTCTTGTTAATTTTCTGTCTCATTGATTTGTCTAATATTGACAATGGAGTGGTTAAAGTCTACCACTACTAGTGCGTGGGATTCTCAGTCTCTTTGTCGGTCTTTAAGGACTTGCTTTATATATCTGGGTGCTCCTGTATTTGGTGCATATATATTTATGAAAGTTAGCTCTTCTTGTTGCATTGAGCCTTTTACCATTATGTAATACACTTCTTTGTCTCTTTTGATCTTTGTTTGTTTAAAGTACATTTTATCAGAGACTAGGATTGCAACCCCTGCTTTTTTTTTTTTTTTTCTTCTCTCCATTTTCTTGGTAAATCTTCTTCCATTCCTTTATTTTGAGTCTATGTGTGTCTTTGCATGTGAGATGGGCCTCCTGAATACTGCACACTGATGGGTCTTTACTTTTTATCCATTTTCCCAGCCTGTGTCTTTTGATTGGGGCATTTAGGCTGTTTACATTTAAGGTTAATGTTGTTATTTGTGAATTCAATCCTGCCATTTTGATACTAGCTGTTTGTTTTACTTGTTAGTTGATGCAGTTTCTTCATTTTGTTGATGGTGTTTACAATTTGGTACATTTTTGCAGTGGCTGGTACTGGTTGTTCCTTTCCATGTTTAATGCTTCCTTCAGGAGCTCTTGTAAGGGAGATCTGGTAGCAAGAAAGTCTCTCAGCAGTTGCTTGTCCATAAAGGATTTTATTTATGCTTCGCTTGTAAAGCTTAGTTTGGCTGGACAAGAAATTCTGGTTTGAAAGTTCTTTTCTTTAAAGATGTTGAACATTGGCCCCCACTCTCTCTGGCTTGCAGGGTTTCTACCAAGAGACTCACTGTGAAAAAATATGGGACACTTTGCGAATTTGCGTGTCATCCTTGTGCAGGGCCTATGCTAATCCTCTCCGTATCATTCCATTTTTCACATATGTGATGCTAAGGTGAGCACTCAACTTTTATTTTTTGAGGCACTTATTTGTCAAGTATAGGATATGAAAATACTCAGAATAAATTTCAGTTGATATCTTGCATCTGAAGATTCATACTTTCTCTTCATCTGCCCCACCTTCTTTGCATGCCCACTACAGTGGCCCTCTTTAGGATATAATTACAAGATTTATTACCTCTGTGGATTTCCTCTCCTTTGACCTTTAGCACTTGACCCATTCTCAACTGCTTTGTGGTGAATTATTTTCATATGTATTTTACCCTTGTTCCCAACAAGCCAAACAGATCAGATGGATGGTATCCATTTACTTTTTAAACAATTTCTCTGGTAAATGTCATTTCGAACACCCATGCAAATGTTGCAGTATTTCTGTGGAGACACACTGAAACTTCAGGAGAGTAAACCTGGAAGTGAAGCATATTAAATTCACTTAGATTACTGGCATTTCTCTTGATTAGATATGTGCTGGATTCAAAGAATGTTGAGGTGCTTATGCTACAAATACTAAGTACTTCTTCCATGAAAATTGTGAAAAAAAACTTATAGCTTCTACATCTGATGTCTGAAAAAGAATGCATTTATCTATTCACTGCAAGCATCTGAATAGAATTCCATTAGTTATTCTTTTATAAAATAGCTTTGTATTTTCTCTTTGGGATACTTAACAAGCCTAACATCAATATTTTATTTGTTCACTATTCATTTAAGATAATTTGTATCAAATTCATTGCAATATTTCTAAACATCAAAAGCAAAATATCAGCATAATAGAAGAGAAGCAGAGAACACTAAGTAACCACTAATAAAAAGAAAATTAATTCATAAACTCTCTGTAGCAGTCTTCAAATATTTTTGTCATGAACTGTAGGCAATTTTAATAATTTTTATATATTCTTAATATTTAATCATATCAAGTATATATATCTGCATGTACACACATGATAAGCATTACAAAATTATGTTTGTTTAGCTTGACTTCTCTCAGATTAATTATCATCTCAATTTCTTTTAGTCCTCCCCATTTTCTTATATCATGTGAAGCCTGAGCTGTGGTGGGCATCTATCTTTTTTGTTAATTTATCACTACTGAAACTTTTATATCCTAATCTAACACGATTTTCATCAGTTCCTGATGAGGCAACTTCCTCAGTACTGTTTCAGAATTTTCACCACACCAGTTTTTCTGAGATTCTCATACTTTATCTAGTTTTCCTCTGGTTCATTTTCCTCTTTTCTGGGGTAAAAAGGACAGAGGTAAAGATGTTTCTGTTCTCTAGACATAATTTTTGGTCTTCTCTCACTATACACTCTGTGGTAAAGCTCAGCAGCTCCTACAATTTGATCCAACTTTTTCCAAATCTGAATTTCCAGCACAAATTTCTCCTGGGTTGTAGATGCACATATCCCAAAGGTCCTTTACTCCCTTATGTCTCATACGAAATCAGCCATGTAGTCTTGTACATTCTGTCTTCTTAGAATCTCTCCTCTCATTCTCATCTTCAACCTGATTCCCTGTACTTTAATAAGTGACTCGATTAGCTTGTCTGTACAATGGCTGCAATTTACCAGTTGCTGTCCAACTCTCCAGTCATACTCCCATACATCACCGTATAAATTGAGAAATCTTTGACCAATACAAAAATGATTTTATTGGTCTTTACTTCAGTCCCTTGGCCAGTGTTCTCATGTAGGTTAAAATCCAAATTTCTTTAAGGACACCACAGTTTCATCCTCAAATATCTCTCTAGTCTTGCCTGTTGCTTTGATCTGATTTAAAACCCCCACTCCATGTATACTGGTTCTGACATAGGTAGCTACGGAAATCTCTGGTGTTGATAAAACTTCGCTCTTTCTCCTTTTTTTTTTTTTTTTTTTTTTTTTTTGTATTTTGAAAAGAGTTCTTGCTCTTTTACCTTCTGATGATACAAATAAGCATTTAAAGATTTTGCTCTCCTAATAATAGCTATACCATGATATGTTAATATAATGTATATTATCTAATATAAAGATTATAATTACCTTCATTTTTAGTACTAAAGACTAAGGCATACAGAAGTTAAGTAACTTGTCCAAGGTCAAAGGCTGGGAGTGTGTCAGAGCTGATAGCTGTAATAAAAGCAATGTAACTTATTGCTGAAAGGCTTGTCTACATTAATTTGGTGCAAAGATATGAAAAACTTAAAATGAACAGCTTAACCCCCAATGAAATTAATAAAGTGAATATAAATCAAATGCAAAGAATTACTAAAAGAAATGCTTGTTACTCTTTATGTGGTTGGGTCTTAACTCTAGGCTTGCAGACTCACAGACAACCTCATGGCTTAATTTAAATAAAGTAATAGACTTTGTCAGGTTAGCAGTGCATGATAACACAGAAGTATTTGACAGAGTGCAGAGACACAACTCTGATAAAGAAATAATAAAGAGTTATTGTCTCAATCATCTTCTTTATCAGAACATAAGCTCCAAGCAGAGGATATTGCAGACCATACATCACTCCTAGAGGGGAATCTCCAACTAAAATAGCCACATAGTATTTCTAGAACAGTTTCAGAAATGAGATGGGTTCTTTTTGTCATAAGGAAAAGGTAGGAGTTTGTCTTTCATAGAAAGAATGATTCTGTGGCAAGCAGCATTTCTGTTTTGCCAGGCAAATAATCAAACTGATAGTTCACTTTTGCCTCAGTTGTACTGATCATTATTTCATCTTTGCTTTTGAGAAAGAAAAGTGGGAAGATGTTGTTCTTTATTTCTAATAAGTAGTTTTGTAGAAAACAGTGAAAGAAATCCTGAGAAAAAGAAGATACTTGTAAAAGAACTTTAAATATTTCATATACATATGATAGTCCTCTAAAATTCCTCTAATATTCCTCTAAATATTAATGATGTTTTCCTGGACCCTGTTACAGTACAGAAATATTTCTTTTTTACTTTTGAAGAACATGGAATTATAACTTTTGTGGCTTGTAAACCTTGAAAGGAAAAAGGCAAACAAATAAAAAAAAAAAAGTAGTGCCTTTATCCAGTAGAAAATTTATTTTTGGAATATTCATGCCATTTTTAGGGCACAAATGATCACCATAATATATTTGACAGAAACAAATAGCTAGAACTATAAGTGTGATTTTAAAAAAAATTATTGATTACTTCTAAGCACAGGCATTGCAGCCTTCTGGCAAGACTTCCAATGCTCTTCTTTCAAGTCAATACATAAGTCTCCAGATCTACTTCCTCTTATGAAATGGTCAATGTACTGTTGAGTAGATTCAGTTATAAAGAGAGAGAGGCAGTACAGCATTTCAATTGGAATTCTTTCAACTGGAGGGTTGGGTGATTAAGCTGGTCACTTGTGGAAATATATTGATTTCATGATATATTTTCAGGAAACTAGTTTTCTTTTCTGAAACACTGTGTCATGATATGCTATTTAGAATTTTTTTTCTTCCCAGAGCTACATAGTATAGCTTTCAATAGCTGACATGAAGATACTACAATGGATAACAGGAATATTGTATCATTGTGAATGTGCAAATATTAATTTGTGTTTTCCTTGGTTGTTTAAGGTGTATGAAGTAAACATTTTATCTCATTATGCATTTACATACTACCAAGAAAAGGATACTATGATGTATTAAGTTTTAAAATGAAAGACAACATACATAATAAAATGTATAAAATACTTAGCTTTGTACTTGGCAAAGAATGTTGCTTACATTTTAGATTAGATTTTTTCCTTTTCTCCTAGATTTCTTTACTACACAGAAGACAACGTAGAAATTGTACTTTAAAAATGAATATTTTGCATGAATAATCTCATGGCCTCTGTTTTAAATTTTACTTGGAAAGAAAGTAACATTTGTTGAGTGTGTATTATATGTCAGGCCCTTTCATATATTGCATTTCATATAATAGTCACAAGAATTTTTTAAAGCAGAAATATCCTTTGCTAGATGAGAAAAATGAGACAGAAATGTTACATATAACAAGTCATCCAAGTAATAAGTAATGTAATCAAATGAAACCCAGATCTTTAAACTGAAAGACCAGTTTTCACTTCAGATGTTACACTGTGTCATATTAAACAGTCCTCTCCAAGCCACTGTCCACATTTTAGAAAATATGAGAAACTAAACTAGAAAGAAATTATTTGGATAGTGATATGTCAGTAAATTAAATCCTAATATTTGTAGGAATATAATATACATTCTTCTGTTCTCAATTTTTCTTCCTTGATGACTTTTTTTGGTGTGTATTGCTTTTTTAGAGTCTGTTTGAGATTTTCTTCAGGTAAACAGCATACTAACAAAATAAGGTACATACTTTTGTCACCCATTTTCTACCCTTTCTAACTTCTTTTGTCTTTATCTTCATTTAGTGGGGATTAAACTTTTAAAATTACTTGATTTTCAAGTTTCCTCTGCAGTTAGGGGTGACCTGGTAGTACAGTTCAGGCCAATGAGATACAGAAAGAAGTTCCTATAGAAAACTGCCTTTTTATCTTTGTCTTTTCTCTTACTTATGTCTGAAAAATAAACCACATAAAAAAAACTTTGATTAGGAAGACAGAGCCTACACCAGCTCCGGGTTACCCAACCCTGGACATGATATTGCATAAGAAAATCACTTACTTTTTGAAAGTCTATATTTATATGGCTTTTTGTTACTTTCATCTTATAACATCTCTGAATGATGTAAAAGTATATTCTAATTCTGTAAAATCAGTTTAAAATTGAGAACATGATTAGGCCAGTATCATTTAGCTAAAATACTCACTTCTTACCCACATTTTCTGCTTTCACCAAACAGTACCTTCCTTGCCTCCCATTTACATTCCACTAAGTTGTATAATGGATTTGGCAACCATGAAAATTAGTTCCATACTGAATTATTATTGAAGCCAGTAGTAAGATTATTATCCCAAATATTTGCTATTATATATATGACATAAATTTGGTCCAGTGTTTGTAGCAGCCAAAAGAAATTGTGAAATACAAGGTGCT